TCGTTTTTCAAGTATCCCCATAAAAAGAATTCCAAAGGATTTAGATCGGGAAACCGTGGAGGCCATGCAATTGGTCCTCCCCTTCCGATGCAGCGAATCTGGTAACCTGATTCAAAAAATTACGAACTTCTAAGCCAAACCTTAATTACGCGTTCTTATCAGTATGATAAAAACAAAAAATTCCTGGTAATTTGTTTTCGTCAGTTGTTTGATACAACATTTGCTACAATAAATTATTAATGCGTGTTCTAATATCACGACGATGAACGCAAAATACAGATATTTATTGAATCATATTTGGTTAAAATTTGTCGGATAGGTTGTGAAACACCCTGTATAGTATTTGCATATCAATTTCATTACACCGAATTTCAGCTTGCTAACTTGATCCGTACAAAAAATAAGTATGGAAGTAGGCTTTTAAAAAAGCACTGTATAACCTTTGCATGATCAACTATTGGGTTCAGGAAAGTTTCGATTTTTTCTCGTGATATTGATTATTTTTAGATTCACTAGCAGTCGTAGTTCCAGATGGTAGGCAATATATTTTCACTTCAAAGGTAATTAAGAGGAAACATAAGATTTACGTATTCGAGAAGTTTATATGTAGTTGTGTGAAGAAAGTATATGCTAATGAAACAGATGAACAACTAATGATTTTTCTATTTTAAGAATCTTGAAATATCATACAAGATAAAGAAGCTACCAATGTTTTCGAGAGTGTGTCCATGTATTATTGGTTTGGACAAGCCATATTTTATTCAAAAAGTTTGCCTATGCGTCTATGGAGGTGGTTGGAGTGTTTATTCAATTTTATTCGAATACGCGGCATGAATTTTAATAAATGTTAATTAAGATTTTTTTGAACATTCATACTAGAATACTGTTTCAACTTTTTTGATTTTTGGTTCATAATTAAAAAAACTTATGGCATCCTGATATTAAACTCTTTTGTACAAGCTTTGCATTCGAGAATGACCGATACGTCGATTTTATTCTGGTTTTTCAGTTCCTTGCTGGCTGACTAGATATTATTGAGCGAATTATTATAATTCAATAAAATTGACAGATCTTTTATTTCAGCGAATGCTTCTTCTCGCACTTTCACCATTTTTCTAACCAATATTTGGCGCATCTTGAAAATATGGTGAATGTGCATACACTTGAACCCGACCATACGAAAATCAAAATATCATACGAACATTTCATGGTTAATATGATCCAGGCACTTGTTCCGGAATATGTTGCAGAGTGTTTCGAATTCATAAAACGTATTGCATATTGTGCACAACACGAACCAGGCACATTCTTTTGATATTTGCAACACTGTAGGGTACTCCCATTTGTAGTGTGTCTCTTTCTGAAACATGTGTTGACAAATTACGCGCCGTATATTACGAAGCGCACTTGTTATAATGACAATGTACCTTTAGAGGAACGTTGTTGATGCGGGTTGCACACCACTGTATTGCATCCTCTGCATATGCACATTTTCGCTTAGTTTGCATATATGAATATCCGCCGCATACGCTTGCGAAGGCAGTCGATAGTCTCTTCATCCTGATATTACAGTCAGCCACGATCGGTTAGCCGCAACTACTTTGTGAATCAAATTACACTTTATTTTCATGGGAAGCAAAGTATGTACTCCAATGTACTCATAGAAATAAGTAGTGTATTCGTTTCGCATTGTAAATAACGTATCAGTGTCAAAATTGTATGTAAATTGGAATTAGGATATATTTTAACTTACACAGGTACAACTGCAAGAGAGCGTTTTTTAGAAAAATCGTTTAATGCTTGAAAAAGCTAAATCCTTTTGCTACCTTGTATCTTTTGTAAAAAAAAATGTAAACCGGAGCAATAAAAACAAGGAGATTCAAAGTTTCCCCAAAAGATTTCAGCCAAAACCATCAAATCATTGAACCAAAGAAGGATATCCCGGATATTCGCGTGGGTAAACTTTGTTATGTTGAAACTATTTATCCTAGAAAAAATACCAAATACATTATCTGCAGGGATTTTTTTAGTTTAATTTGTCAACTATTTTCGATGTAGAAAGAGCTAGGGAAAGGTAATGTAAAAAGAACTGTTTTTAGGTGCCATTTGTTCAGTATGTCGTCACGAACAGAAAAAATACAGGGTAGTAAAGTGAACATTGGAAAGAGTACGTGGAAAGCTAATAGAATATCAGCTTTTAAAAACTTCACATCAAAAAAACTATTTTATTCATTTCAAAATGTTTCGCAATTGCAATATTTCCATAACAATTGGCGTAAGTAATAATAGAAGAACCTGTTCGCCGGTTCAACTCACAACGCCACTGCGATGCATCTTCTCGACATTCCCTCTCACTCTGCATATATTTAAAAGTATCGGCTAACATACCTACATAATCCGAAAGGTAAACTCAATAATCCCACCAAAGTATACACAGTTAATGATGTACTAGTTAGTAGTAGGATCACTGGCGAAAATCATTTCCTGCTCGAACTGTGGTGCAGTCAAAACACACCAATGTTACAGAGACCAGAAGAATTTTCCAGTTCTTGAGCATACGGACAAAATGGTCGCTTTAGTCGAAGAGAGCCCACACTTTTTTCTCCTGCTAAAATTGAGCAGAAGCTGCCTCTTACTTCCGCTTCAAAAAAAAAAACACGCGCGTAAAACGCGTGACTATTTGCTGGTCAGCCGGGACGCGTTTCGTGCGTTGACAAATCCTGACGAGCGTTTTGCATGGTACCGTCGCTAGCTCGTCGAACACGCCTCAAGAGTGTGTACTGTAACATATAAATACATCTGATGCTAAACGGGAGTTTTTTGCAGCGCGACAATTTAACGCTCGTGTGTAACAGCAGTTAGCTGTCTCGTGGACAGAAAACGAACGTAATTGCCCCCAGTAGATTGTCTAGGCATTAGTGATGGATAAAATACGAGACATGCCACATTTCAAAAACTGAGCCGAGGCTAGGGAACAGGTTTTGATTTTAAAAAAATTCTGGTCGCTCCAAAAAGATAAAACGAAGTTTGGTAACATTCTGACCGATTTTCAAACCCTACAAATCATTTTTTGTCCTTGGTATGCTAGTGACATTGTGTCAAAAATTCATCAATATCCAAGCAAAATTCTCTGAGTTATAGAAGGAAGTTTTCATTATTACATCATATTGGCAAAACGTGTACAATACTACACAGCTACAACACTTCCCAAGAATTACAGTAAATTTTTGAGAGAACTTCTCGTACATACCCTCACAGGTATCATGCATCTTTGAAAAGTGACATATCGATTTTTTTGACATTATACTGTTTTTTTTTGACTTTATGTAGGTTTTACTACAAAATGTTAACTTAGCACTTAGTTATACGTGTTGCCTAAACGTCATAAGGCTTCAGTTATCAATTTTTGGCTCTGATGTGATGTAAAATCTGCTTCCGAGATGGCATTACTGGAGGTCTAAGCTGTAAGTTGTATGTATTGATGATAATTCCATTGAATTCTTGACTCAAATACATTTAATTGAGAATCAAAGCGAGAAATTAGTTGCGCATCTACTTTTTCTTATCCATTCTGGCAATTACATATACAAATTTGCTGAATTTAAAAAATGAGAGAGATGAGAAATAATTATATTCACTGTACACTGTCGCATTACAAGTCATATACATGCTAACAGTAATTACACACAACGCGGGCGCGGTGATGATTTCCCGTAATTCTCCTCACTTTTTCGTAATTTATAACTTTAAACATAACCTCGCTTCAGAAAGCACAACATATAAATAATCCGTCGGACACAGCTAATAGATATACTTCATTGGCAGCATATTCAATAATGATTTTCTCACACAGCAAATATCACTGATTTTATACACATGCAGACCAATACACAATCATCGAGATACCATCTTGCTATTCATTCAACCAACTTTCTTCTCAGAGATAAAAACTACAGACACGGACCACTTGGTCTCATAAAACATATGCAACCAATAATGTGTCTAGTTTAGTTAGGTGATTCCTCCATAGATGGGCGTTCACAACGATCCTAGTGAGCAAACGTGCGCCCTAAACACTAGTTAGTCTGCAAGATGGTATCTTATAGGTTTTTTTGACGTTTTATAGGTTTTTTACATTCTACCCGTGCCGCACTCGTATTAGATAAAATACATACTAGCTAGTATGTAGCCCACGCTACGAATAGTCGCGGTAAACGTTAACTATAGAGGCATGAACGACCGTCAATCCGGAAAAAATATAGAACTTCTTGTTTACACCACAGAAGCTATAAATGACCTCCGCTAGTGCCATTTGTGAACAAGATGTTGCACTAGAGTCAAACACATCACATTGACACCAAATACTGTAGGCAACACACACATCTGCTTGTGGCCACTTGTCGATCTATGATTCTATGATTCTAAACCTAGTCATTTCTTGCACGGTTTGGACACACATATTACCGAAACTATTCCATGAATAATGTTAACGACAAATGTTGGGGTAATCTTCATGTCCAAATAAAAAAGTATAGACAACCTGTCATGATTCACTTATAAACATTTGTTTTTTCAACTATCCTTATTTGGTATCGCTGTCAAAAATAATGCAGTGACATGCTTAACGATACGTTATTTTTTTGTTATTGCTTTCTGCGATTTTTTGTTCCCCAAAATATGTTTTATCCAAAGGGAATGGCAGTGATAAAGGAGATAAAAGAAGCTGCAATCACGTTGCTGAGTCAGCTAACTTCTGAGACTGATTAACGGTGCTTCAAATCGTAGGAGCGACGTCGGACGCACTGCGTAGAGTCTATTATAAACAGGGATGATACAATTTTTCCGCAAATTATTTGTTTGTTTATATCCAATTCCCGGAATTTAATTGCCATATCACGTAACCTGTGCATTGACGTGGGAATAAAAACTGATTTAACCGTGGAGTGGTCCTACTACTCACAAGTCTGTACACTCTGGTTTCATGCATCTCCAGTCCTTACCTAGCGCAAGAGCTGTTGAAACCCATTGGCTTGTTCTTATTCTTGTTCCAATACACTATTGGAAGGTTGGGCATACGCTTCTGGATGTCCTCTATGAGGTTGTCCTCTGATAGTGTAGGGCTCTTGTCGACGAAAGGCTCCATATCCGTGTTTTCCGTCGTGCTTTCCGCATGCCTCGTCAAAGGGTCTAGTCGTTTTTGGAGTAGAAATCTGAAAACAATAGTAGATCGATAAGGAGTGTTAAAGTCTATGAGGCGATATCGTGGTGATTTCTCAATGGCTATATACCCATTTATCGCCTCGGGTATTGGAAATCATTCTACTCCAGTCTTGATTGCAAATTTACGAGGAAAAATATGTGTGGGATATGTCTAATGTGTACGTAAAATCACCAGGATTAGCAGTGCATAAATATACTGTCGCCAAAAAATTGAGATACACCCTTTCCCACTCCCTACAGTCTCCTAATTGCACCTAATTGTTTACCCCTCAAAAAAGTTTAAAGTTTGAGCAACTTTATATATTTTTTTTCGTTGTTTGCTCCTAGTTCCGCCTCCGATTTGCAGAAACTATAAAGCTTTTCCGTCATTGGCATACATAGCAGTACCGACCTTTTTTTGACTATACTAGTTCTATCCCAATCAGTAAAATATATAGGAATTGGAAAGAGCATGTTGACTACAAGGCAGAAATATGTTACCTAGTTTTCAGTGATGTACATGTAACATGCAAAAAACAATATCTAATTTTCGATTTTTTGTCTCAATTAAACAACTTCCTCGCAAGTTGCGTAGGGAGTAAAATCGGCACTTACTAATTGGCGTTTGGCGTTTATACAGGGTGGCCCATCCATGTGTGGACGGAATATTACTCATACACAGAAACATTTTGGGAAAATCTATTTACGGGATGTTATTCATGACATTTGAGGGCACATTTCTAAAATATTGGCCATTATTCAGGGTGTCCCAATTTCGACCTACATATCAAAGTTGTGATTTTTCAAATAGAATGAATCAAATTTTATTACATATTTAAATAAACCAATTCAAAAGAAGAAAATTGATATAACATGCTATGGGGTTTTGGTAATTAGCTACTGATATATAAGGTGTTTTGTCTAGAAAAACCCCCCTCAGTCCGCCATTTTGAAATTTGGAGTGCTGAATTTTGTATTAAAAAAAACTCCTCAGCTTATATCTTATTTGTTACTTTTTCGAATTTTCATTTTTCTTCTTTTGAATTGGCTTATCCAAATGTGTAATAAAATTTGAGGCATTCCATTTAAAAAATCACAACTTTGATATGTATGTCCAAATTGGGACACCCTGTATAATTGCCAGTATTTTAGAAATGTGCCCTCAAATGTCAAGTATAACATGTCATAAATAGATTTTCTTAAAATGTATTTGTTTTTTGAGTAACATTCCGTCCACACATGGATGGGCCACACTGTATAGGGTGGAATCATCCCGCAGCTCCACACTTGAAACTACATACTAAGTAGCACCGGAAGTGGCGTCTGGAGATATGTCTCCGAACACAATTCCGTAGATTTACTCTTCTGTGACCATTCGTTGCCATGCTTACTTTGTATTCAATCTCGTTGATTCACTTTCAAAATTTCGGGCTTTGATAGCTGACAAAGTATTAGAGAAAAAGAATAAACCAATTTCTATCGCTCTTGTCCATTTATTGTTATATGTCCGAGGTTTGATGTGTATTTTGTCGAATTCGCATCACATGCCATGTTGTTGTGCAAGGAACCCAGCCGCTATGAAAAATCACCTTTCAGAAATACCAGTTTGAATTTGTAATCGCTGACTGTATCATATTTTGCAAATGCAAATAAGTTGTAAAAGTGAAATTTCCTACAGAAGTAGAAAGTAAGGGAATCTTTATAATATTTTCGAATTAATAAACAAGAAGCAGATTCTTTATTTTTGTCGATCGTCTCATATCATCACATGCTACATCTGTTTCGATGGAATTAGAAATTATCAATTACGTATAAGCTGCTTAATAGATCTGCAACAATTAAGGATGGCCTTTTCTAGAAAACAGATCTTCAGCGGAAGTGAAACTGAATTTCTTTCAGTCGCTTTTTCGATAGATTTGTTTACACTGCATGATTGGGCACGATGGTTCATTAATGTTGGTTGATGAGCTTTACCAGTAGTATTTTATTCTCTCTTCATGCATCAAAAATCGCAACAATAACAAATGTATAATTAGGAAAGTCAGCGGATGTCCAGTTGCTGGACTCAATCAGTATGTCCTCATACATTTCCTCGAAGAATCAAGGTATATAAGTGGTATTTTTGGCCCGGAAAATAAATGAAATTTCAAGTTGATCGTATCTATGAAATTTCGGCAATTAAATATTCTAGAACAGATGTATCCTAAACTACAATCAACATTTTTATTTTTATTCTAGTACTTGTTAAAGCCCTAAGTTCATAATTTAGACATTATTATCCAAAATGCACCAATTTAACTAAGTACTTTTATACGGCCCGAGCGCATAGTCGTAAAACTTTCTACTTCAAATCCACAATAAAACACACTAACACATAAAGCATGTGTATATAAAAATAAAAATAATTGCTCCACTACACTCACATTAGAAACAAAAGTAGAAGCCTCATTATAAGTGTGAATTGATTTGTTTCAACTTTTGTTTTTAATGTGAGCGCAGTTGAGCAACACTTTTATTTTTACATATTATGTTTTGCAGTTGAGTGTATTTTATTATAAGAAGAAGTAGAAGAAAGTGTTACGACCATGGGCTCATATAAAAATGCCAACTTGAATATCCGAAAGCTGATTAATTTGGGATAAAAATGACAAAACTAGGTGCTTTCGGCTTATTAAAAACAAGCAAAAATGTTTATGAAAGCCTGAAATGCTTACATATCTTGAAATATGAATACTGAAACCGTCACTCGAGAATTACAACCGGTCAGTAAAGTTTACTTTATGAATAGGTTCTTCTAGCATTGATCTCACTACTTTTTAGTTCATAGACTTTTTACGCCCTAGGGCGGCACAATAACTTCAGCGCCTGCTATCTTTAAATTAGACCTCGAGAACTACTCTTAAAATTATTATTAGGCAACGAGTTCAACAAGCAGCCGATGATATAATGCGGTCAATGTTCCAAAATGCCTTAGAAAAGCATCGCAAGTTAATGAGATAGTAAATCAAACTTTAATTTTCATAAGTGATATTTCCCTACAGTGCGAATCACTCGTACCATAAGTTTCTTTAAACAAATCCTTATAGCATTAAAAAGCTTCGTGGTTCGATCATAGGGGGTGTATAGGATGGATATCAAATTAACGCAGTTATGGGCATGGGAATTAAAAGCAAGTCATGCAAATGGAGTTTTTTTGGCTTCCTTGTCAGACACACAGCACACGAGAATGTGTTTTTTGCTATACAGGGTGTCCAAGATAAAGATTCTATGGATTGGGATCTCAATACCTGTGGGAGATTCAGCTTAGGTTAAATTAGGAAAAAGATGTATTCTTTGGGTGCGTATTTACATGCTGTTGAGATACTTGATGGCTTAGTGAGGTATTTAGGCAAAACTAAAATTTGGCCAAATCGTTTTTATTTGTTTATGACTTTAGTTTATGAAATATCAAAAAACTTCACTGGCACTTTTTAGGCATTACATGATGTTGTTTTTAAATTTTGTGCCTGACGTTTCGTTTTTGAGAATCCATAAACTTTATTTTTTTATATGGCCCGAAAAAAATACTGATAGCATCTTTTTCTACGAATTCAACGATGTGCCACATGTTACATGTGATTTCTTAGATATATATTAAAATGTGGTTTTTTATTTTATTTAAGTAGGCATTTTAAACACATGCCGATGTGAGATTATGTGATTACTGATAGATTCATATTACCTATTGCATAATATGATCGGGTAAAATTTTTTACAATGATTTTTAACATTATTTTTATTTTATTCGCAATAGATGCTCAAATACGTTGCCATTACTTTCTAAACATAAATATGGTCTTTTAACAGTACAATTCAAAACATTACTTGACATTTCTGGTGCAATCATACTAAATGCTTCCATTACACGTTCTCGTAACTGCTGCTCAGTTTCAAAAGTTAATTAACTTGGTTTTAATATAACCAGAAAAAAGTCAAGAGGAGTTAAGTCCGGGGAACGCGCTGGTCAAGACACTTCACTGGAGGTTTCAATCCACCTTCCGGGAAATCACTGAGAAAGATACTCTCAAACTTGCCTAGAGAATTGTACAGGAGCACCATCTTGTTGAAACCAATCTGTGCCAAGGGTATAAATTATCCAGGCAATCTTCTAGATCATGTTGGAACAATTAAAGGTACCATTCTGCATTTAATGAATTGTGCTATGTAAATAAATGAACCCAATATTTTGGTCCCTAGAATTCCAGACCACATATTAAACCCAAAACGTTCTTGATGTCTGGATACTTTTTTAGCCCGCAGATTTTCTTAAGTCTACTAATGAGTGTTGCGGCGATTAATGTGTGAACATACTCTCGGCAAATCATATTGTTTTTCAAGAAAAACTGAAATTTTCTTCAGACGTTCGGGTGTACCACTCACAAAAATCACTATTCTAGGTTTTTTCTAAAGCTTCCTTTTTAGAGACGTAACAGGTTTGTTGAATGAACCATATTCATTTAAATTTCGAGCTAACTAAATGGGCTACTTGGCTGACTTTTCTGGGGAAATTTATCAAGATACATTTCTGAAGTATTTTCAGTATTTTTGTGGCATTAAATGTAGCACGTTAGCATGTCGAACTTTTCTTCATTGCTAAAAAGACCGCCTGGCATCTTTGACGATAATAAAGTAATATTAACAATACACAATAATATCAATACTCGCTGACAGGTATTTAGGCATTTGTTTGCAACGCTTAGTTAGTAAAAAAAAATCGGAAAAACATGTCATAGATCGTTGAATTCGTATAAAAAATGCTAATAGATAAAGGGCGTATTTTTTCGGACTATATAAAACAAGTTGATGATGTTTTTTTGATATTGCTTGACATAAAGTCAGAAAAAAATAAAAATTTTAGTTTTTCCCAAATATCTCAGTAAGCCATGAAATGTTTACAAGATTCTCAACGGCATGTAAATATGCCCCAAAGACAAAGTATTCTTATCTTGAATACCCTGTACATACTTTTTATCGAAGATGGTGCAAAATCTTACCTGCTATTTAGATGTGGAACTGGAACGTCTATGATTGATATGGACCGGAATTGGAAGAGTGTGACGATAATAGCAGCCCAAAGAATGCCTAACGTGAGTATTTTTGTGATGAATCGACCTTTTCCATTCCGAGTGCAGGAGGGGCAAAACATGTTTCGGGTATTTTTCTGTAACAAAAGAAAACCGAGTTACACCTGTCACTAGAAAATAAAGCTTCTATTTGATGCGGCTACAATTCTCACAAGCCTCGTTAATATTTGAAAGACGTGTCTTGTGTAGTTCCATCAATTCCTGGGGTATTTGCAATCTTTTTGATGGACAGATTCATCCACATGTTTGCATACCATATACATTAATGGACAAAAGTATATAGACAAATTAATATTGTGCTGTATTTCTTTTTTAACTTGTTTTATTAATACACCAACCTGTATACATAATTCGTTATAGCATAATACTCACTTATACATAAATAAATTCATTAGACTCCCTTCAATAAAAAATTAATTGAAAAAACTGGAACTATGAAGGACAAAAATATATAGACAAAGCAAAACAATTATAGAAAAAAAGAAGCAAGTTCATTGAATTATAGAAAACCATCCATGTTTGTGTTAATATTTTGTAGCATAACCATTATTATCAATCACCGCCTGGGATCGTCTCGGCATAGATTATAGAAGTTTCTTGATATAAGATTCATCAATCTGTCTGCAACTTTGCTCTAATGCGGCAAAAAGTTCATCCTTGTTTGAATAATTTTTATCTCGTACTTGCTTATCTAAGTATTCTCATAGATTTTTCAATGGGGTTTATATCGGGAGGCTGTGAAGGCCATTTGAGAACTGGTATTTTTTCATCCAGAAAGAATTTCTTTGCGAGATTTGAAGTGTGCTTCGGGTCATTATCTTGCTGGAAGATTGATCTTAAGGGCATATTGTCTCCCATATAGGGTAACATGACATGTTTTAGTATGTCTGTGTGTACAAACTTATCCATAATGCCATCTATTCTATGTAAAGTTCCCATCCCAAGCCCCGAAAAACACCACCAAACCATTACAAACTCGCCTCCATGTTTGACAGTGGGCAAAGTGTACTTGGGGTTCAATCTCTGTCCAATAGAACGTCTAACGTAATAAACACCATCTGATCCAAACGTATTGAACTTGGATTCGTCACTGAAACATACCCTCTTCCAGTCACAGATTCTCCAATCAAAATGCAACCGTGCAAATTGTAATCGGTCCTTACGGTTTTTCCTCGAGATTAGCAGCTTCTCACTCGGGCGACGTGCAAATAACTTCAAATCATTTAATCTTCTACTTATAGTTTTCATAGAAACACTGGCAATTCCTTTTGTCCCGATTTTGGCTTTTATTTGTCTTGGGGTTTTAAACGGAGCTTTGGACGAAATTACTGTTATTAATCTGATCTAGCATTTAGTTTTCTAGGCCGACCACTTCTCTTAGAGGCTTCCAAGATATCTTTTTGTTTATATTTGTTCAATATTGCCCTAACCGTTTTACGCAATGATCTTAGTTTTCACATCGAAAGAAATTTCTGGACCACGCGGCTTGGTTTTAAAATCACTCAACTTATTCCACAATACTTGATGAACACAAACTAATCCTTCTTCTGACACGAAACTGTACTAAACTAAAGAATTTGTCTACATATTTTTGTCCCTCATAAAAATGTGCATATATTAAGACTTGTATTGTGTTCATTGCATATAATGTAAAAACAAGGAATTTAGTTTTTCTACTAATAACGCATTTGTTTACGGAGCAATGAAGTATAAATTCGTTTTCTAAAGGTATTTAAATATTATAGGTAAATATTCATATTTGTTTATATACTTTTGTCCATTACTTATCTATTGCTTTTTACATTGACTAAGGCTTACATTTCACTCTCGTGATAAAATTTTGGATATCTCTTTCAAATAATCCCGATCTTTATTTTCTGAGCAATATATTATAACATTCTGATCAGTGATGGTTACCCGTTAATTCAGAGTGCACGATGTAGCTCAAAAGGAATTAGGAAGAATTACTATGAGATACTTCTGGCATACTGACTATAGTAAAAGTTATATGGTTTTTCAGCTCTTGTTAGGCTCTTCTAGCATATGGTTAATGTGTGAATCGACGAAAAAATCCACTGAGAAAAATCATAAGTATATGAATTTCATGACTCACGAGAGACACGTATTTAGCTGGAAAATATATAAGTTAGTCGAATACTGTTGAAATTTGTTCATCCTACATGAATTTATCCACTTTTATTATTGGAAATCTTAAGGAAGACAACAGTTTCGCGTGTGCACGAACATCGTGATTTTAAATGTCGACATTTTGTTGCTCAAACCACAAATATCATCTGCAATACTATAATAAATAGGAAACCTAATAATACTAATCTTACATAATATAATGTCTGTCATTTTGAAATTATTTTTAGGAGAGGTATGTGAAAACCGTCATAAAAGCAATATAAAAATTAATACTGCTCATTCCAAGCAATCATTTTAATAATCTCAGACTTGAAAAATGTTTTTTCGCCTTATCAAGATCCTTATTTCGAGAAATAAACTGTACTTTTATAATTATAATAATATATGCTATGTTATGAACATAGGCAACGTAAGGAGAATAAACCTTAAGGCGCAATTCCACTGAGGCAACTTTTGGGCAACATGTAGCATACGGCATTGACGCATGCGTCACACTGTCTTTCCATAGAGGCAACACAAAGCGACAAAAAAATGTCTTCTTGCCTCCTGCCACAATTTGCACGTTGCTTGAATTGTATCGTGAAGATGCATGTTATACTCTTGTACGACAAAGCGCATGACACATAGAGGAACAAAATCCGCATACGGTATTAGTATAATTTTGGGCAACACTGTCGAACGTCAACAAGAAGCAACACTAGGAAACGAGTAGCATGCCACATGTCGTTCATTGTTGCCTCAGTGGAATTGCGCCTTTAGACTTTACTTCGAAAGTGCCGTTTGTCCAAAAGTGAGTGTGAAGTTTTCAGGTCTGATTTGAACGCTATTAGTTCACAAGCTGCCTTCTTCTGGATGGCGCACTATATTACGTCTTTAGATTGAGATCCAGAAATTCCCAAAAATTGTCTTGGTACCGCCGTTCCCCGCTTTTCCCAAGTCGTTCTGGCCAGGTACCCCTTCAGCTGCAGGCCCCGAGCTTCCGGAGTGCTCAGGGGCCCCTACGTAGCTTATGACGACTCTGGCCGCAATCCTGCGATTGAGGCTCACCGCTTGAATCAATCAATTTTTCTTATTCTTTTCATTTCATTTACGCGCGCGTTGGTGACCTCAACGTTAATTTCTTTATTGATAATAAGATTAATCAGTGCTTTCAATCTTATAGCCTGCACCAGTTATTGAATGAACCAACTCGAATAATTGATCATTGTTCAACGCTTTTAGATCCGGTTTTCTTCAACTGTGCACAAAGATGTTCCAAAGTGGGAACTTTCACTGTTAACTTTAGTGACCATCAGGCTGTATTCTGTCACATTTCGTGTAAAAACAATAAACCACCACCTAGACTAATTACATTTAGAGACTATCGCAATTTTGATCTAACCTCTTTTGACGATGACTTATTTAGCGTTAATTGGGCTGAAGTTATTTATATGGCTAATATCGATGAGAAAGTAAAATTTATTTCCGATAACATTGTAGGACTTTTTGACATACATGCACCACTAAAAACAGTGAGAGTGTCTAAGCCTCGTGCACCATGGCTCACAAACAATTTGAAAATGATAATGAAAGAACGAGATAAGGCTTTTCATAAATATAGACGGTCTCGAACGGATGCGAATCGAAATCATTACAATGAACTGAGAAATTTTACCAAAACTGCTACACGTGCAGAGAAATCAGGCTACCTTCAACATCTATCTCGACAAAGAAACTCTGCAGCTCTTTATAAAGCTCTTAAGTCATTTAGAATTCAGGATTCTAGTAATACTGACATTCCGGATGACTTAGCAGTTCCCAATGAAATAAATAACTATTTTACCAGTATATTCTAGAAAAGTGACGATGATTGCTCGGAAACTATCGAATTTTATAGCCATAACAAATTAAACCAAGATTTTCATTTTCAGTTCCGTCTTGTCGATATATCTACAGTATTGGATGCTATTCGCAGTATCAAGTCCAATTCTAGTGGTATTGATGGCATTACCATTGAGATGATTAAATTGTGTCTACCTGCTGTAGGAATATACATTTTGCACTTAATAAATTGTTGTTTAGAGCGCGGTGTTTTTCCAAGTGCTTGGAAGGAAACATTAGTGCAACCTCTTCCAAAGATTCCCAATCCCCAGGTTCCTGGTGATCTCCGACCTATTAGCTTGCTGTCAGCTCTATCAAAAATTCTAGAAAAAATAGTCTATATGCAGTTGAATGAGTATTTACTCGAACGCAGCATTTTGCCATTAAATCAATCAGGCTTTAGAAAGGGTCACAGTACCACTACCGCTTTGGCACGGGTTTGTGACGATGTACTAACAGCGGCGGATAGGCAAGAAGCACCTGCATTAGTCTTATTGGATTTCAGCAAGGCTTTTGACACCCTGAATCATAAGCTGTTAGTTTCTAAATGTAAATACATTGGGTGTGACGACTTGGTTCTGGAATGGATAGATTGCTATTTAAATGAACGACATCAATATGTCGTCATACAAAATAAACTTTCAGACAAAAGGCCGATTTGTTCCGGCGTGCCTCAGGGATCCATATTAGGTCCACTTTTATTCCTTATATACACCTTTGACATTTCCAACACCCTTCAACATTATTCTAGTCAATCATATGCTGATGATATGCAGGTTTTTCATAATTTCTGTCCGAACAACTACCATTTAGCTAACAACCTTATCAATCAAGATCTGCAATACTTATGCACATATGCTGAAAAACATAATTTACGTCTAAACGCATCGAAATCGACAGCTATACTTTTTTGCTCCAAGAAAAAACGTACTTTCCTCAAATCAAAGTTAAATTTATCAATAAATAATAGTATCCTAATATTTTCCCATTCTGCAAAAAATTTAGGTTTGTACTTGGATGAAGATTTCTGATTTCAGGAGCATGTTGGCTATGTGTGTAAGTCTAGTTA